TTTATAAGCATAAAAACAGAAGAAGAATCATAAAGGAAAGGACTGGGTTTTTTTTTTCACAGCAGTTTTTAATTATTTATCAAGAGAAACTATTCCTTAGCGCACATATTCACAGCTCAGGAACACGGGTCAGTGACAAACTTCTATATAATTCAAACTAAAGAAATTCTTTATATTCCAAAATCACTTTGCACTCTGAAAGAGACCAGCCTTCCTCATCACCTCAAAATCTTTCATGGAATCATAATTGCTGTAGAAACCTGCGTATGCCTTCTTTCCTGGTTCAGCCACAGCATACAGAGAGAGCTGCAACGCCCAGGGATATGATGAGCGCTCCAACAATATAAAATCGTGGAAGCCTGGCCAGAGGCCATGCCTCTGAGGTTTCGTCACAGCACTGGAAGCCATGGTTGACAGGGATGTCAACCTCGACTCATCCTCCCTTGCTGATGGAGAAATTAATTCCATTAGGACTGGAAGTTTTGAGTATGGGAAAGTTTTTGAAAACTTGTTTTTAAAAGCATAATTTAAAGCCTGTGAATTAAACTCGACTTAGATGATTTTCTATTTTTTCCATGTGTCACATTTGGGTCTTGATTCTGGTGGTGGGTGGGAGCAGTCCCCAATACAAAGCACCTTATCTGGGTTCTCAACAATTTGGGCAATAAAACAAAAGGTTAAAGATGGAGGCTCCAGATCTCTCTTGTTACTGCTGATGGCCAAGTCAGAAGACGCGCCTTAGTTGTGACAGGCAAAGATCCGAGACTATCTTGGCTGCTATATGGATAAAGAATTTTATTACATAACTTGTGGAATAAATTCACATCTTTACCACCCACTGATTTAAGGCAATTATTTTATTTTTCCCAAAGTACATGGTGCCATGGTATCTCTTAAAAGATGCTGGAATACAATATTGTCAAATTACGAATTATTAAGCTCTCAGGGTCTTTCCTTGCCCATAATTATGTACCGTGACAGAACTCTACCTGACACTTGCTTTTCTTCCATTTGAGCTTGTTTAGGGTGTTCAATAAGCCTTCCTAAAGTAGACCATGGACTTTGAGTCCTGGAACCAACTGTGGCTCAGCTGCTTAGTACTTATG